TTAAGGAGATCGAAGAGTTTTACGGGTGTGCTCGGCTATTCAAGCCAATGACGGGCTTTATGGCAACACGGTTCACGACAGCTTCGACTGGGTCTGGGGAGGGCGTAGACGCAGGCTCTACTCACAATGCGCAGCAGGTCCCGAGGCCAGTTGGGCAGGCAGATCATATTGAAACGGCGGCCAAGATGGGAATGTATGGGCGCATGACGAGGCTGACTGCAGACTTCTTTCCCACCAGATTACTGTGCAAGCGGTTCAATGTCCGGCCCCCGGCTCATTCGCAACCAGATTCAGATGCGGCATTTCCATTAGAGCCTCATAAGACTTCCTACGGAGTACCTGCGAGTGAGGTCACACCTCACGAACCGCTCAGTCGTGAAACGAACTCAGATATGGATGACATGCTGGGTTTCGATATGGCGAAGCAGTTGTCGACGCAGACGGCCGACATCTCAAAGCTCGGAAGCGAGGCCGGCGAGGTCTCGCGACCAAGCAACGACATCTTCAAATCGATCTTTGGTGACAGCAGCGATGAGGCTGAATGAAGTAAGTATCAACTGTCTTCGCTGAGACTGACGCCATGACGTATACCAGAAAGCCTAGAGCCATACTTCGCAGAGGGGCCTTGCTGGTATACAAAACCCATCACCTTCGACTTAGACTCTCAAGGAATATAGCAAGGTGTTTGCAGCACAGGACCGGAAGGGCTGGTGCTCCACATACCGGCTTTGGATGTATTCGCGGAAGCCGAGATACGGGGATTGACTGAAATGCCTCCGTAAGAAAATCGCGCTTTGAAAGTTCACAATCGTTTATACCACAGGGCCAACAATAGATGCCGATAGAGCTGAGGAACCTGGGGCATTCCAAGAAAGTGCTGCCATGCTCGGAATGATAATACACAGCGGGCAGGAACTCAGTTATGTCGGGCATAAAAGCACGGGCAATGCATTTGCTAGATGAGATGGGGAAACGACACTATCTTGGAACCGGGCGCCGCGGGCAATCTAGACTTCCTACTAGTAGTTTCTTCATACAGCTTTACACCTATGCCTATGTTTGTGCTATAGCTACCGTAGCGGTAAGGGAAGTCGACACTGCAGGTGTTCGGAGCGTCAGACTAGACTATCGGCATAGCACGTGAGGTCATCACATGTTATTTCGATGCATGAAAGCCCCGCGATAACATCCCAATGGCCAAGCATGTGTCTAATTACATGGTGACTTGCCTTGAATTTTGTTGGCCGTCATCTAGAAGGAAAATGGTTTTGAGGAAGGTAAGCAATATCTCATAACGATACCTGGGCTACGTCCATTTTTACGGGCGCGCTGGGCCTCCGAGGTGCGTTCGTTGGCTGCACCAACCATCTCCCTCCGTCAGCCTTCAGGTACCTAGTCTGGGTACAAAAGCAAGTAGTTCCCCACCCTCAAAGGGGTGCTCAAGGGGGTGCTCAAGCAACTTTGTAGTCGCAGTAAGAAAGCCCATAAACTGTTCCTGTTAGTCTGGGTGCGTCCTTCACTTACACGACGGTTCACTCCGTTTGGCCGATTCTCTTTGCAATATAAGAGTTCTTTTTAAATAAGACATAAGTATTATTGAAACTATATTATTTAGACTTATACTAGAGAAAGCTATGTAAATATTTAAGTAGTTATTATAATATTTAAATATAATATTATATAGTTTAGCTTTTAATTATTAAATCCTAGTATTTAATAGATAAAATACACATAAAATACTCTATATGAATCGAATTTGTAGAAGGGAAAAAACAGTCTAGTCTAACTTATATCATTAGCGTCATTTGTTTTGAAAACAACAATAATGAACAAAGCAAGCTACGATTTGCCATGCCTTAAAGCGGAGATCCGTCAACGGGTGACCACTCACTCCTGGGGTCCTTTAGTAGACTACTGCAGGCGCGTAGACGTAATACTGGGACTGACTGGGCAAAAGTGCTCTGGACTTGGGCTTGCCTCTTTGGTCACTACCTACCTAAGGTAAGGAAATAGCCGCCATCATCCCCTGCCTGTTCTACCTCATCAAACTGCCCCCCAACGACCAATTTCCCATCCACCATTTGCTCAGACACTCGCAATCAACCATTGGTTTCTCTAGGCCTAGCATACGCCTGCCACCCCTGCGCTTGCAAGGCGACCTTTACCCCGTTTCGCACTCGACTAAACGAACTAACCTTTGGCGAGCATCCCGTCGCTCTTCCTCTCTCCCTCTCTCTACACGTCTGTCCTTCGCAAACCACTTTGTTCACTGAACTCATCTTCGCCATCCGAGCTAGGAGCGGCACAAATAAAACATACGTTTGGCTTTCGCATTGGCGCCTGATTACAAACTCTGTTAACGAATGCCATCAATTGGAACTAGCTAAGAGGTCGAGTGGTACACCCTACTTATTTGTATCCAACTACGATCCGATACTCGATACCTTGTTGAAACCGCCAACACGTTGCCAGGCTCGCAACACGTCAGGAACGGGCAGCCCGTGTCCGCCCGGCGTACAGTCACCGCCTCTGAAGAAGAAGATCCTCCTCAGCTACCAGCAAAGACCGAGCAAGAAAGTGCAGGAGAGTCCAGCCTCAGCGCCCCGTCACCTCTTCCTCCTCCTCCTCCGCCTCCTCAGTATCCCTCCTCCGAAGCATCAACCTCCCGGCCGCCACCCTTCTCTTCAGTGTGCGATTCGCTCGAAAACCCCTCCGAACCGGCTCACGACCCCCGCTCTGCGATCACAGTCACAGTCGCTGGAATATCCCCTGCTGCACCGTCGTATGCATCTCTAGCTCCAGGCTTCTCTACAGAACAATCGGTTCCGACTTCCTTTGATCACGCTCTTACAGAAACAAAGCGTGCGCTCCCTCGAGACACCAAAGGGGGCTCATCCGGAAAGGACGACAACGCCGAACCACCCCCCGCATACTCGGAGGGACCCAGTCCACTCCAATCGTTTGCCTTTCTGATGGCTACCGCCGGAGGCGCGTCGAGTATCATTACTCAGGTGCAACAAGGAGGGCCGCCTATCAATGCGATTGGAGGTGAGTTGCTACTCGACCAGGACAAATCGAATAAGACTAACGTAATGGCAGATGTTGGTGCCGACGAGACGATCGCGATGGACCTTCGGTAGGGTTTGCTTCTACTCGACGTCCTATCCTGAACGCTAACCGTTGTGATCTGCAGGGGCACCCGATTTGTTCTGTCGCGAGACGAACTCTTGACGCTGCCCGAATTTGTCCTCTTATCGTTGTTCCCTAACGGCCTTTTCCCCGAGGGGCATATGGGGGGATTTACTGAGGGCGATGCAGTGCAAGTGGACGTGAGTACAAATTCTCACAGTGACCTACATAGTGCACTTTAATTATTGACAACTTCTCGGCAGTACGACCCGGCATCCCTGCAGTATATGCTGGACTTCTTTCGCACCGTTGCGCAGTCGATACCTGTTGACTCATCTCCGAGTGTTTCTCAGGAGGAGGATCCTGCGACGGGAGACCCAATGGGCTCACGAGACGACTCATCCAAGAGAGCTGGCATCATCGTTCTGAGAGAGGATCTTGACTTCTACGTCATACCACCGCGGGCCGAAATCACGCAGCCTGAAATGATGGAAGTCAAGAGAGCTGCGGGGAGAGCCCTTCTTCAACAGACGGGCATTTTCTCAGGTCTGAAGCGCAGTGATGAGCCGGGTACTACGGAAGCTCACCTCATCGAAATGCTCACAGCAGGGTAAGTTCCCCCGGCATGACAATGTCCGGCCCTTGACAAGAGCTAACCATTCACCAGCGGGTTCAACCATGACGACAACTGGGGACACAGAGCAGGAGAACCGAACAAGGCGGTCGTTTGTAGCTTAGCATTGGCACGCCTACGAAGCGATATCAGAGGTAATGATATGGGCAGCAATGCCGTTGGCATGGCGCAAAAGCTGCTCCTCTTTTGGAGGAAGCCTGCGAGACGCTGCTGGTGGGAAGGCGTGGAGCTTGACAACGTTGAGGGTATTGAGGGGAAGCTGAAGGTCTGGATCAGGCGCGTTTGGACCCTGGAAATGAGCGTAATCGGCCTCCGATGAGGCCGACAAGCTTGGCTACTATCTTGTGCGGCGAGAGGTCAGGAATGGGCGTAATGGTGTAGCGCAGCCTGGCTTTGTGGGCTGAAATATGGGTTTCCTTCCGTCTACTTATTTCAACACATGCGCGAAATGGTTCGTGGGCTTCGTCGGCCACGCATAGGCAACATTCGTTTTCAATGGCGAGACCGCTATCTGAGGCTGATATTGAGCGTGTTCATAGGTGCGTCAGACCAAGCAAACATTAGTCATAGGTCAGTTCTTACATAATCAAACAGAAGCGTTTTCTTGATCATGACTGTCACTTAGATACGTGGGCTCATGATTGATACTTGTGAGGAACCCAGTAGTGACGTTCTCGTCATCGTCTTAACGGAATGGACCATTGAATAATTCCAGGTGTAGTGACTTCAAGTCTATGTGGTCTTAGCTCGGGGCCGCTGCCAGCTGTGTTCTCAATCTGTCAGTATAGGTGGGTAGGTAGTCTTCATCTAACTCCTGCTCATACTGTCGCATCCTTCACCCCACTGGGCTCCTGGACAATAAGGAGAAAATGCCTTGCACCTCAATGCTAGCTATGTTTCATTTGGAGACAGAAGCAGCCCTCATACGAAGGGGACATCGCACCTTCTTCCCCACAATCATTCACTTGGGGAGAATCAGCGTCAGGCACACTAATCAGCCCCCAATCCTAGCCAAGTTCCCCCGGCACAAACAAGTGTGGCATCATTTCTTGGCTGGACCGTTGGTCCAGGCTAAGTTTCAGTGCAACACAGGGTGGTCTTCCGTCGCAGAATAGTGACGCCTGCCTCTCCGCACTATAACAGCGGCTTCAGGTCCGATCCGGTTATTCGCCATACGGCCCTCTCTACATTCACCGTGCTTCTCCGTTCCAGTATGTACGTGTCCACTACCAACAGCATGAATTTCTTACTTTCTTTGCATATTCTTGCCGCCACTCAGTTTTCTGTGGCCTTGGCCCAGGAGTGCAGAAATACGTTGAAAGCAACGTATACCTCGCCCATTGCTGCCGGTGGCTGGACATATCGCCTGATCGCGAACGGACTCACTCGACCCAGAAGCATACTTTTCGACAACCAGGGAGCTCTCCTGGTTGTCGATGCTAACTCTGGAGTAAAACATCTGAAGCTGACTGACGATGGCGGCACTTGCTTATCTGTGGCCGAGAAACGGACGATTATTGATTCTCCAGAGGTATGGCAACTCTAGAGGCCGAGTATGTGTAGCGAGCTTACTTATTGTAATGTGTCCGGCGACCCAAAGTTGAACCACGGAATAGCCCTCTCCCCGGATGGGAAGACTCTGTATGCCTCGACCGCCGACAAGGTATATTCCTGGGCATACAATGGCAGTGCTGCCACCGTTGGCGATAGGAATAGGACACTCATAGCGAACATGAGCAATACCGATCATACCACCCGGACGTTACTTCTATCCAAAAAAAGTCCAGGCATACTCTTGGTGTCGAGAGGTAGCGCGTCCAACATTGACGAGGCTGCGACCCGCCAGTCGACTGGGCATTCCCAGCTTCGCGCCTTTGATATCGGGAGCCTCGGTGAGAATTCTGGGCCGCTCAACTTCCCAACTGAGGGAAGGATGCTCGGCTGGGGATTGCGGAACTCAGTGGGCGTGGCAGAAGAGCCCGTCACAGGCGGTGTATGGACAGTAGAGAATTCAGCGGACCAGTTGAGGAGGAACAATGTTGATATTCACACTGACAATCCTGCCGAAGAACTCAACTTCCACGGGCACCTCAGTGATTCTAACAAGGATCAGGGCGGCAATTATGGATATCCAGGTTGCTTTGCTGTTTGGTCGACCGAGGGATTTCCCGATAAAGGCAACATGACGACGGGAGATCAGTTCAGTCTCAACCCATCACGCACCCTGAACGATACAACTTGCAATTCCGCCTATGTGCCCCCGAGACTATCTTTCCAGGCGCACACTGCTCCATTGGATATAAAATTCACGCCCGATGGCTCAGAAGCCTTTGTAACATTCCATGGCAGTTGTGAGTGGTGCCAGGGCTCTATTGTCCACATTTAATCCCATGACTTACACCGGCCTAGGGAACCGAGACGAGGCAGTCGGCTACAAGCTATCTAGCATACGTTTCTCGAACGGAGAGCCTACAGAGTCAGCTGATAGCCGGACACCAATTACTGATATTCTAAGTAACGCAGACACCAGCAGCTGCCCTGACCACTGCTTTCGCCCGGTAGGACTTGCTTGGGACAGTCAGCAGAGACTCTTCATGACATCAGATTCGACGGGTGAAATTTATGTCCTTCAGCGGACCGATGTCTCAGTCTCGACCAGTTCTCCGGCCATCCCTGTTCCAACATCATCACCCGACGCTGCAGCAACTTTAGTCCCCTCCCGGCTCACCTCTTTTGGCAGCCTTGCGGTCTCAGTATTTGTTTTCATGGGAAGTGCGGGCGTGGTCAGGTTGATCCTTCTCTGAGATTCAGCTTCATATACTCTCAGTCTGGGAATGGCCGGGTTCAAAGAGTCAACAAATATTCAGTTGGTACCAAGAGTATGCTGCTTCATGTAATCAATGATCTACGGTGTGCAATCGACAGTGGCTTGCTAGTCTGGGTTTGTATCATCCGTAACGATTGATCCAACTCCAAGACGACGTGAAATTCACGAGTTCAAATACGTGATGACCCATTTATGCCCTATTTTGCCGCGAACGCCTCGCCTATGACGTTACATGGATGTCTGTATTATTCCTCGATGCTCTTGACACACTCCCACTCGCCTCTGAGGTTCTCCTTCCACAACGAGACCTTGTTGTCACCTCCGCTGACCGCGAGCACATTGCCGCTCAGAGACCAGCTGACTCTCCACACAGCTGCATCGAAGTTGAGGACCTTGCAGTTCCATTGTCCACGGCTCGACGAATCCGACGTCCAAATGCGAACCGTCTTGTCTTGGGAGGCTGACGCAATGTATGACTTCTGCAAGACCGTCGGCGACCATGCTACGTCACGAACCCAGTCTGTATGACCGGCAAGAGGCTCCTGCTCCTGCTTGTACGACTGCGATGCTGAATCGAAAACCCAAACTTTGAGCAAGTTATCACAGCCGCCCGTGACAAATCGCCTCACCCCGGCTGAACCAGGACCAGGAGAACTGCTGACAATGCTTCCAGGGGCCGTGGCTGGGGCCCATGAGACGGAGTTGACGCCCAGCCCGTGGGCTGGGAATGTCACATGGTCGAAGCTGTTGTCGCGGAACTCGAGTATGCTTACGTTGCCGTCCGAAGAAGCGCACGCCAGGAGGCACCCAGACTCGTGTGGTGACCAAGAGACGATATTGACGGAAGCTTTGTGCAGAGCGAAATCGAAAATCTTCTGCCACTGATTGTTCTGTTCCCTCCAGATGAAGACCTTGCCGTCGTAACCTGCGGAGGCCAGTATATTTCCATACTTGGGGTGCGCCCATGAAACGCACCAAACTGCACCATCATGTCTGCAACAGAGTCAGCAGGAGTAGTAGGCTCGTGTTTCTGAAGGTCTCGAATGTGCAATGCTTACCCTTTCAGGGTCTCGACAAGTCGTTGGGAGTCCCCGTCGATTTCGAATATTTTGATGGTGCGGTCGCTTGAGCATGTCGCAAGGCGACGTCCGTAGTAATCGAGGACGGCATCGTGCTGGTAAGGGTGGTGAAGTATTAGCCTAACCGAACATGTAGGACAAGGAGGCGGCCGCCGATCGCACATCATGACACAGGCGTCGATGGTATATATTTCCCCGTCTCGAAAACCACTGGGCGATTGGGAACGTGGGGCAACACTCGAAGAGACACTTACAATCATATCATCGTGGCCAGAATTCGATATGACCTGGGCAGACGCCTACGTGAAGAGCCATGTTAGCGGAGCGGATTGCCAAGTATATATTGAGAAGCCATACCATTGCGTGAAGTAGAAGCTGGTGTTGTTAATCAAGGACTGCGCTCATTCAGAACATCTAATATGGGCTGATGCGGGAAGGTCGAGAGCTGGGTAAGACTTGGGTATATGTTGAATGGCAGACTGGACGGCGTCACTGTAAGTGCCACCTAAGGGAATCGAAGCTCCCAGCTGGCCTTAGCCCAAGCTTGAGATCCAATTTGGCCAACGGGATGGGGCCGTGTTGCAGGACCACCAGTAGGGTGTTCCGTATGAGGAAGGCGGTGGGATAGACTTCCCGTGACCTGAGTCTCGTGACTTCCTTTAGATTGACGGCTAGGAGCTTCCAGTTTCTTGCACGTGAGACGTCTCCCCTCCCCCTCCCCCAGCTCCGGTCCCGTTAACGGGGTGGGTGCCGCGCTGACGCAGAGGTAGTGTGCGTACAAGCCGATGCCGAGGTAAACCGAAGTGAGAGTCGATGAAAGCTGTCTACCGACCCATGAATAACAGACAACGTTGCGGTACTTTTCTCTACAGTGCTACTCCATGTACCCGGCTACCTTGGCGCTCGACGGAATAATTTACCATCTCAGTCGACACCTTTACTCGACGCGCCATAGGCTTCTGCTAAAACTGTGATCAGCCTCAAACACCAAAGGCCACACTCTTCAGACACCACATGCAATCCGAGTGCGCACTCGAATACTGTACATCCTAAGCACTGGAACCATTGATCATTTCCCGTACGAAGCCATCGCAGGCGCCCTCATAATGGCTGACAGTTCCTGTAGCGGCTCTACGCCGTTCAAAGGCCTCGTTGACCATGGGGCCCAAGATCGAAGTCTGCACCGAGATCGGTTTTCCATTACTCCTAGTCTCCAGCAAGTAAGGCCTACAGTACCGCCCCCGTGCTCTCACGCAGTTCTCCTAACAATGACAGGGCTTTCGATCCACAAGTCAAACCGTCTCGGCGCCGGCTCAAGCAGGCTTTGGCGAATTCCTCGACTCCAACGGGGCTGGGCAAGTCAGCATAAACACTCCCCAAACTCTCAACTCGCCCGCATCAAGCTTCCCTCGAGGGTTGCAATCATTCCAATCATCAGCGGCCCCTGCCGGTCGAATTCTCCCACCCAACCTCTACCAATCTACGTCACAAATTCCGACAGCTTCTCGGCAAAATATGTCTATGGCGTCGCCACCGAGGACATCGAGTTGGGCACAAGATTTTGCATCATTCTCTAGGGCACCGCCAGGTGCTGGAAACTACACAACAGGGTTTTCTTCTTCGCAATATCCAGCGCCTGTAGCCGGATTTACGCAGAATATGATGGGGTCGCATTTAAGACCTTGGTTATTCGGGCCCCAAGGCGGTTCTGTAACCGCCACAAATCACGGAGTTACAAACACCGAAGCTGACTTTGATGTTGAGATGAATCGGTGGATGGCGGCCAACGGAGACGGACAGATGGAGGACCTCGACACTGTTATGGAACAACTCGCGCGAGAACTGGAACAAGAGCAGCAACCAGAGGCCGCTACACAAGCATCCAGAGATACCACCGGCAGCTCTGTGGATACTTTCACGACCTCTCTAGATGTTTCTGTCCAAGATGAAGCACAAGGAATACAAACATTCGATGCTACAGCTTCAACAAACCAACAAATACCCGGCGCATCCTCGGTCCTTGGGATTGATGCCATCGGAGTATCAAAAAGAGCGAGTTTTCCAGACCACATGCCTGACTTGGAACGTCTAGGGCTCGACGAAGCGGAGCAAGCATCTGCAGAACATGTCCAGTCAACATCTGACATTTCGGAGGCAGCGAGACAGATACTTGACTCGGTTCAACATGAACAAGGAGACAAATGGAAGAATTCTCGGTTCTTATCACTGATGAAAGACTTTCGGGATGGAAACAAAGACATCGTCAACAACGAAATTCTCGAAACCAAAGTTGGCGGCGAGCGAATCGGCCGGAATTGACCTCGAGAACTCCAATGCTCCTAAACACCACCCAACCACGTTGATATCATGGCTAATGTCAACCGCAAAGCCCGGTACAAGAGCCGTTATGTAAGGGGTCATCGCGCAAAGCCCGGTACAAGAGCCGTTATGTAAGGGGTCATCGCGCAAAGACGGCATTCGGCGTTGTTGTATGTAAAATGAATATTACAGAACGCTGTAGCGAATATCGTTGACACAGCTATAGACCACTTGATGCTCTAGCGATCCGGTACCGTTACGTATGATACGACGAATCGTCATCGAGAGACTTCCAATAACAGGCAGGGCTTATGATTACTGGCGTAAAGAGGACGCTGAAGATCGCATCGAGACGACAGCGAAATTGATGCTGCCCTGGCGGCGACGCGAAATGTCGGTCGGTCGGTAGCTCTAAGGCTTGTTGGTGGGATTTGAAGGACAAACGTACATGGCACGAGGAATTTAGCAACCTGTGATTCTGCCGAACTACGACATCGGGGTTGGGATTACAGGAGGAATAAGCAGGGATAGATATGCAGACGCTTGCGAGCCTAGATCGAGTTACCGTACCTTGTATTTAGTATCCTCCGCTTACGAGGGAATATAATCATCTTGTTTGTTTACTCAATAGTCCAGATGTTGGATTTTTAATGTGTGAATTGTATAAACTACAGCCGAGAATGACAAGCGGGACAAACAAAAACAATAAGCGATGAGGAAAATGGATATTGCTGAAGGAAATGCACAAAGTGTACCGTAATCCCTCCAATTCATCCAGTTGTGCCTTAGTGGTCTGTGAGGAAACAGTTCAGGATCGACCAAGGGCAATGCTCTTCCAGTGGTCACGCTCCTCTTCAAGCTTACGAATCTTCTCTTCCAAATCTTCAAACCGCTGGGCCTTACGCTCGCGAGACTTGCGTGCAGCGAGTGTGTTGCGGGCACGCTTCATAGCAGTGGTATCACTAGGATCCTCAACAATGATAGGAGGCAGCGGTTTGTCTCGTCGACGAGAGCTCACGCCCGAGACTGAAGAGTGGCGGGCAGAACTAGTTGGGGAAGAGTTGACAGACTTCCGGCGGCCCGAGGTTGAAGTGAACTCGACCACCTCCAGATCATCGCCTTTGAGAGCGGGAGACTGATCAGTCTGCAGTTTCTGGATCTCCTCGATACCGGTGACGTCCTTTGTGACAGCGGTAGATTCCTGGGGAAAGAGGGGAAACCAAGGATCACCAGCAGTGGTGTCAAAATCTGCCGACCCGAAGTCGCCCGAGTCAAAACTGGGGGAAACATCGTAACCGTCGTTAAAGTCAGGAGACTCATTGTAGATCGAAGGCGATGTCAAGGCGGTCAAAGCTGTTGAGTTGGGAGCAGACATGAAGGGCTCCTGAATGAGAAGGTCATGAGGAGACACGGTGCCCAGGGTGCTAGGACCGACATCGAAGACCGAGGGCATGGCTGGCGACGAGTAGGTGGTAGACGCACCACCCTCGAAGCCGGTGAAGTCGTCAAGGTCAAGGTCTGTAGAGACATGTGAGCACAGTCCTGGGCGAGACCAGAGTGTGAGCGGTTTACCTTGAATATCCATCTTGTTGGTTACGCCCTGAGTACTTTGAGCGAACAATGGTACAGGAGGACGCTGACGGCGGTTCAGAGCAGCTGAAGACGACGGAGCGGATGAAGCGTAGAATTGAGCTGACTGAGCGGGGGAGCTCACTGAAGGTGACCGGGAATTAGATCCGGAAGCTTGGATCTGAGCAAGACGATGCTTCTGTTGAAAATGGACGCGACCTTGTTGGTTCTGTCGGAGATGATATGACGAGTGGCGACGTTGGTTCAAACCGATGGCGGTATGGGTTGCCAAGTGTCTAGGTTGACTGGTACGAGGCTGATCGAACAAGACGAAGTCCTGCTGGGGAGACTGTTCCGGTGGGCTGAACTGAGGCTGTTGCGCGGGTTGTGCCGGCAGGCTGGGTGAACTGGAGGGAAGCCATGATGATTGGGAATCCGTTGTGAAGACTGAAAAGTCTCGAGGTAGAATGTTGGCGGAGGCGGAACTTAAGCTAGAGCTGGAAGCCGTAGTGTAGTTCAGGTCGACCTGGGAAGGTTGAGCTGAAGTGAAGAGCGGAGAAAAGTCGTGAATTGTTGTAGACTGAATTTTGTTGAGCTTTGAAGCGGGATCGAACTGAAGACGATGATTTAACGCATTTTGGCGGGGCTCTATGGCTGAATGATTCTTGATTGTAGTTTGGAAAATTGTGGTGGTGAGGAGGAAGGAGGAAAAGGGTATGTGAAAATTAGGCACGGAGGGATTAGCGAGCTTTTGTAGCCTGAAAGGCAGCAACAGGTCAAACCCCCCCGAAAAGGGCGGGTGGTTGTGGGACGGCACTTCCGGATACGCAAGCAGGGCGAAGGGCGCAGTTGTCGAAGCCCTGTTGTCTAGAAGGTACAGCGGGGCTTTGTATCCCGCCATGTCATTAAGCGCACGGATCGGTCTTCAGATCGCAAGTGCGCTACCTAGACAGAAGTACCACCTCCAGATGGAGCGCAAGGCAGGCAACTGCGCCCACAGGAAGGAAGTGGTACCCCTGCACGGAATGAGAGTGTGAGTCACACTTTCTGATGCTAAGCCTGATTCGGCTTGACCGAGCGCACGGGACGTTTGCTCTGATTGGTTTGTGACGATGGCAGGCAGAATACAGTGCGGACTAAAGGCATTGCTCCAACAGCAGCCAATGATCAACTCCGATAAGTAGTACGATGAGGGGCATCTTCTTCGCTTAAGGTATGTAGGTACGTGGCACCTAGAGCTTCCGCGCTGCGCTGATATGCGGAATTTGCTCTAATAACGTACCGCTCAACTCCTACTGTTTACCTGTCGATGCTCTTGCCATACCGACACAGTAATCCCACGGGCCGCAATCCAATAATGCTGGAGAGTTCCACAAGTCTCAAGCCGGTACATATTTGTGGAAGGAGTCAAAAGTCTCACAGGTGCTTTGCTTTAAATATTCTATGTTCACAGAGGAATGGCGTGGAGGAAAGATGGGGTTTGTAATATGCATTTCCTTCCGTGTCAGTGAGGATGGCTTGCGACCGACCATTGGCGACCTGAAACACGACCATTTCAACCTACAACGATTCCTCCGAATCTGGCTGCAGTCTGACGGTTCAGTCCAAAAAAGTACTCCAGCAGGAGTTACTTCAGTTTCCTGCATCTCCCTCGCACAGTGCCGGCGAGACTATTAGAGTATCTGGATAGGAGCCTGGCTGCAAAGAGCCCACCGACGTGGCCGTCAGTACGAAAGATGCCGTAAAAACACTTATTTATTTTTATATTCTGCCTTTGCTAGTTACTTAGGCAGTTCTTAACATCGATTATATAATATTAATATATTCCCCCGACGGAGCAATCCGCCGGGGCCGTACTATATATTACGTATTAAAAAAAACTAAGTATATTACGCTCTATAGCTAATTACTAACTAAAACTCCCGACCTTCTACTACTTCTAGTTATTTATTAAGTAAGCTTTACTTATTTTAATATATATAAGACTTCTTAATCCCCCTAATAGAGCGATCTACTAGGGCCGTATTATATATACTTTATATATTTTTATAAGAGATTAGGCTATAAATACTTAATTAATAAGAGTATAACATAAGTATAAATATATTATAAAACTAAAGCTTATAAAGTCCTTTATATAAGCTCTATTTTATAAAAAGATCTTTTATAATATAATTTATATATTAATTACTAACTTATTAATAACTTATTATTAAATATATTTTAAATTTATTATAATTACTTCCCTCTTATATAACTCTATTTATTAAAATTATTATATAATATCTTTTTTTAATATTAAAAATAAAGTTATTAATATTATTAATATTATTAATTATAATAGCTTCTTAAAAACGTTAATAATATTTTTTTTATTTAAAAATAAAGTATTCTTTATATTTTATTATTTAACGGGTACTTTATTATTATTATTTAGTAATAGCGCGCTAATTAGTTACTAAGTGAATAATATATATTTATAATAAAGCATTTTAATTATTATAATATATAAAAACCTACTTAGCTTTATAGTAATTATTATTACTAAGCCGTTAAGTAAAATAAAAGATTTTTCTTTTTATTAATTACGTACTTTTTTTTTCCCTTTCTCTATTTAGTAACCGTTTTATAAATTCTTTTTTATATAGTAGTTTTTTTTAGCTTTATAAGTATAAAAATTTAACTTTAATAAGATTACGCTTTTAAAAGAAATTATATAATATAGTATACTTTTTAATTTATTTATTTTTTATTTTTTTTATTTTTTTACCTTTGTTAGTTACTCGGGCGGTTCTCGATCTTAATTATATAGTATTAATATATAGTATTAATAAATACTCCCACTATCTCAATAGACTATTTTGTTAATTATATAATATATATAATATACCCTAAGTATGCGCTTAATATAATATAATAATTTTAATATAAAAATTATTATATAATTCGGAATAAATAAGCTGCCCTATAATAGTACTAGCTGGAAAAGTTAATAATAGAGGTTAGTTATAAAAGTTAAAGGTTATAATAGATTCGGGATATAATTAGTAATAGGATGCCGATAACTTAGTAATTAGTATATAAATCGTATTATAAAAGAACTTTTTAAAAAATAAAGCTTATATAAAGGATTTTATAAACTTTAGTTTTATAATATACTTATATTTATATTATAGCTTTATTAATTAAGTATTTATAGCTTAATTTTTTATAATTCTAAAGGTTTTATTTTTATAAAATAACTAATATAAGTAATAATAAATTATAAAAACGAATAGAACGTTAATAAAATAATACTTAGTTATTAATAAGGAGTTATTAATATTAACGAGTTATAGCTATTTAGAGTTAATTATTTAACCCTATTTTATCTAAAGGAACGAGCTTATTATAAAATAAGTCTTATTTAAATATTAGTATTTATAAAAAAGCTAAATAAAAGAAATAATCGGGGTAAATTACCTTTATAAGCTAGTTATTTTATTAATACCCCGAGGACCTTATTTATTATAAACGGGGCGTTTATTAATAATTAATTACTAAATATACGAAGTTTAAGTATATATAAAGGCGTAAGTAGTACTAAGATAGTTAGTTTAGTAGACTTTATAAGCTTAATAATAACCTATTTTTATTTGTTTTTTATTTCTACCTTTACTAGCTACTCGGGCAATTCTTAATATCGGTTATATAATAATAACATATAGTATTAGTAAATACTCCTACTATCTTATTAAACTATTTTTTTTTTAGATTTTCTACCTTTTTAAACTTTCCCTTTTATAAAGTTTATAATTACGGATTATTAATAATAATATTAGGTACCTAATACTACTACTTTATAAGCTTATTACGTACCTAGCTAAGTTAGCTACTTTTCTAAGTATAGTAGTTTATAATAGTAGTATCGGAGATATCCTTATTATTATCGTTAAATAATATCGACCTTATAATATCTATCCTAATACTTTTAACTTTAACTTATATATATATATATATATTTATTACCTCGTTTCTTTTATTAAAATTAAAAAACGCTACTTCCCTTACTATTTATTACTATCGCCCTATTACTATTACCTTATTATTATTACCCTATTATTATTATTATTAAATCGTTTACCTACTCTTAAATATATATTATTAAAATACCAAGATACCTAGTTATTATCGACCCTTAGGACTTCCTTAATAATTAGAAGTTTAATCCTATAAGTATTATACTAAAGGACCCCGAACTATAGTACGATCGTCTTAAGAAATACGGATTAGATACTATTAACTTAAAAATTAGAAAGATATATATTAATATAGTTATTGTCCTAATTAGTACTTAGCTTATATAACATAGTAGCCTCGAAATACCTAACCGATTCTAGAGTACTATTAATATTCTAAAAAAAACCTATTTTTATAAAATAATAAAAATGATAATTAAAGACCGAAATTAAAAACGGCGTTAATATAAAAAGCTTATTTAATAACTTACTAAGCGGCTAATAACGTATTTAGATTAATAAGAATATAAAAAGCCTCTTTTTTATAACTATAAATTAATTAAAAAAGAGTTTATAAGTACTTAAATAATAAACTAAATTATTATTATAAAAGTAAATAATAATCTTTATATAAAAAGTATTATAGAATAATATATTAAATAGGCCCTATTTAAAATATTCTTATTATTATAAATATAATAATATAATTATAAAAAGAGCTTTTAAAATCCCCTTTTTTAAAATAATTTCTTAATATTTATTTATTAATAATATATAAACTTTAAGATATAAAAATAAGAATATTATAAAAAATTAAGAATAAAAAAGCTAAAAAAGGATTAAACCCCTATTTAGTTCCTTATTAAATAGTTAGTAATTTATTATAACCTAAATATAAAAAATATAAAGAACTTAAAAATAGAAATATATTAGTTCTTTTTTAAATTACTATTTTAGTTATAGGACGACTTAATTTATTATAAAGTTTTAATTAAGAGAATACGTAATATAGCTTACGAAGTTAATAAATTATAGTTATTAAATTAGTAAAAAGGTAGTAATTAATTATAAAAAAATAATAAAAAGAGGTTATATTTATTATTAAAATAATTATATTAAATATCCCCTTTTTATAAAAAAAAATAGCCCCCCGACGGAGCAATCTGCCGGGGCCGTACTGTATATTACGTATTAAGGAAAACTAAGTATATTACGCTCTATACCTAACTACTAATTAAAATAGCTCCCAACCTTCCGCCGCATAAAGTCCTCCTAAGTTCTAACTACTTATAGGGCGAGCTTTACCTACTTTAACGCACACAGGACCTCCTAATACTAGCCCGCATAAGTAGCTAGGTCTAATATAATCTATTCTTTTATATAAGTATTATTGTTACTTAGGGGGTCCTATAAGAGCTATTTAAAGCGCTAGCTTATTACCCTAACCCTATATACCTCTAGCCCGTTTATTATAACTATTATAACTAAGCCGGCGTTAATATACTAGATCTTAGTATTTATACCGGCCCGGCTATTTACGGTACTTATAATATTGCCTAGCTAAATTCCGCACCCCTAAAAAGTACTTTACTACTTCTTAAGTATATTTACGTTAGTTACGATAGCTATAGCGTTGAGCTAGCTAAAGAGGGCGCCTAGCCCGAGAGGGGTAGACTTATTAACGGGCATTTTTAAAGAGTTCTAGCCTACTAATTACTAATTATATACTAAGAGTAGAGTAGGTTCTTATTAAGGTAGTATTTTAACTAGCTAACCTCTTAACTAGTTATTTAACTAGCTATCTAAGTAGTAGTTTATATATTAATAAGTTTATTTAGTAAATTTGTTTAGTAGATTTATTTAGTAAATTTATTTAGTAGATTTATTTAGTAAATTTGTTTAG